AAAACCAGAATCACAATTCAAGCCATATCATAAGATAAAAAACTTCATACATAAATAACAAAATAAACAAACAAACAAACACATACATACATACATACATACATACATACATACATGAGCCCCAAGATAGTGGGAGGGCAACTAATATTCCATCACATTCAACCTCTTTGCAGGCTCACCCTGGGATAATCAGGGTTGATGGGAAAACCATGTTTTCAAGGCTTTTCAGAAGGCTAACAGAGATGGTATTAACCTCACCTCTGTTGTAGGGGGCTACAATAGAAAAGGAATCTCTCTTTAGTCCCACCAGATGGAACCCTTTAGTAGGCAGGACACAGAGCATACTCTTCTGCTGGACATGATGGGATGGGTAGATGTAACTGAGAAGAAACAATCCCTCACATAATTTGGTTCCTTGCCATATAGGGGTTTAAATATCAAAACTAGCACCTTGAATGGCACCTAGAAACCAACTAGCAACCAATGCAGCTTGCAAAGCAAAGGCATAATGTGTGATCCTAGAGGCACACATAGTGTTGTGACCTAGGCTTCCTGAGTCATTAAAACACACGAGTAGTCCCAAAAACCTCTTTTATTGCAACAGCTGTGAATTACCTTCATTCACAGCTGAGTCCCAATTAGTTGCAAAAAGTCCTTCGGGAGAAGTCCTTTGGGATAACCACCAACCTTTATCTCCCTTGACACTCTGCCAAAGACCTACTTGGCAAAGCCACACAGAGTCCAGAATCAAACAGAGATGCTGACTGGGAACAGAATTAACAACGTTGCTTTCCTGCAAAGGCCCACATGCCTTTGCTCCTCTTTTAAACCTTATGGGAGGGACCAATAATCTCCAGGCTTTACTCCTGAGTTGTCCCTTTAGTTTTAACTGTTCTTGCCTTCTGGCAGCTCTGCACATGTGTCCACTAGGAACAGGCTCCTCCTGTTCCTCTGCCTCTCTGATGTCCAACTCTGGAGGCTCTGGAATCCGCACATAACTCCCAGATGGCCCTGGCCCCATCTCTGCCTTCAATGCAGAGCCCTCATCCGAGCCTTCCCCAGACTCCAGGACTGGCCCATGTTCCTCCCCAGCTTCCTCACTGTCCAACTGTGCTGCCAGCTCCCCAGGCTACTGGCAGACCACAACACATACAATAGCTGTTTAATTCGTAACTGTTGAATTATGTTTTATACCCTACTTATCCTATGTGTAGGCCAGGCTTTTGGAAAGGAAATAGCAGGCATAGCCTATTCTGTTCTGCTCTGGTTGCAGAAATTTCCATGCCAAAGAAAATGGTATCTGATTTTCTCAAAGAAGAAACCTTATAAATCAAGCAAATAAATAAGTAAAGCAATTCTCATCAAAATGAGAAAATTTAATATTTCAGCTGCCTTCTTTGTATCTCCAATACTTAAAATAAAGTTAACTCAAAAGTTGTGGGGGCGGGGAGTTCCTTGTGGCAATACTAGTACTTCTTGGAAGGTGATCCAATAAGGGGACGGTTTTAATTAGACCTGAGATAGGGTAAAGTTAGCTTATACATTTTTAATACTATTTGCTTGGATGCCTTGAATTAATCAATGATTCATGCAATATGCAAACCTTTTGATGTGATGATGAAGAAAGCTCTTTTTCCCCCTCTTTATAATTTAAGAATAGCCTCTTTCTTATCTACTAATGAAAGCATGAAATTTGATTTTAAATGCTGAGAAGGTTTTATGTTTTATTCATTTAACAGGTTAAATGATAGGTTCAACTACATTTCTCCCAATCTGACAATTTTCTTTTGATGTAATATTTGTGTGATTTACATAATGCAGATCCATTAAAGAATGAGAGAGGAAGATGAACAAAAAATAATCTAGCTTGTCATTCACTAATTACCTATAGTAACTAGAATGTATTATCTATATAAATATATACTGTACACAGGATTGAATATATGATCTGTAGCAATGACAATGCATTGACTAAACATCTGGGACCATGCTAGCTTTATGAATCAATGTTTTCCAATGATATTGTTTTATTTCCCCATCAAGCGGAAGGTTTTGCATAGAAAATAGCTAACATCAAACATTAATTGATATGAGATCTAAAGGTAAAGACAAAAGTGACTGTTCTTTTGCCCAAGCACAACACGCCAAGATGTTTCTGCTTCAAGTTTCATCTAGTGCAGTCAATAAAGTGCTCTACGATTGCTTCAGCGATCATTGAAATCTGCAAATAGTCGTTTGTCAAAATGGGATATTTTATTTCAGACATACTTTCTTTCCTTGATAAAGTTTCCCAATCAACTTCAGGAAATTTATAGATTAATATTGTAAAGAAAGCAATGCAACAAGTGTTTTGCTAGTTTGCTTTCCACATAAACATAGTAACTTTGTTTATAATTAAAGTATAATCATAATATCAACAGCAGTATTTTAATTTATTTATTTGTATCCCATTGTTATTATTTTTACAAATAACGCAAGGTGGTGAACATATCCAACACAACTTCATCCTCTTCCTCACAACAACAACAACCCTGTGAGGTGCATTGGGCTGAGAGAGAGTGACTGGCACAAAGTCAACCAACTAGCTTTCATGGCTAAGGCAGGACTTGAATCCACAGTCACCCGCTTTCTAGCCATGTACTTACCTTTTGGTAGAAAGTTTGCTAATGTTGTTAATTTTAGCCCTATAACAACAGCAGCAACTACAATAACAACAACTCAATGAGACAGATTTAAGTTATCCAGAGGACTTTATGCCCAGGGGACTTTATACCCTATGTCATCCTAGTCCAGGGGTCAGCAATCCATGGCTCTGGAGCTGCATGTGGCTCTTTCATCCCTCTGTTGTGGCTTCTTGTTGCCGGTCAACTCCACAATTGATAGGGCTTTCAGTTAGAACAGGTAGAAGAAAAAGGATGCCACACTAGGAGGAGACTCTATGGTGGGATAACCGGACTTCCGGTCAGCAGAGGAAAAAGGACACCGCGCTAGGAGGAGACTCTATGGTGAGGGAAGCGGACTTCCGGTCAGCTCCAGAATTGAACAGGGGGCTTCCGGTTAGGACCTTTGTGGCTCTTTGAGTGTTTAAGGTTGCCGACCCCTGTCCTAGCCTATGTCTGACTCTACACCCCTAAGGGACAGTATAAGAACCTATTGAAAAGGTATCAGATTGATCTGAAAATTGTATATGGCAATAATTTGCCTCCTTCTAAAATCTAGGAATATGCAAAAAAATTAGGAGATCATAAAGATATATACTACAATTATATGTAAAATATGAGTGAAACTAATGGAATTCATCTCTTTCCTTATTAAAAAATATGGTTAATTACGCCCAAAGTTAAACATCTGTTACACTGAATTTGCTAATAGATAGAACGGGACAAAGAAAGCTTAATTAATCAGAGTAATTGAAGGCAAAGTTAAAAGCAATATCTTAACAGGGAAGGAAAAATGACAACACACTGAAGTGCTGTATGTATTATTAATTACAATATCAGAGTCTATTAGCACAAACTAGACTGAAAAGGCTGTCAAAACGTCTTCATTCAGAAATCATAAATCATCTGCAAAAAGTAGCTCACAGCAAAACCTTGGAAGGCAGACTGTATTCGAATGCACTTTATTAAATTTGGCTTTTGATCTCTATAAATACTTGTATTTTAAATGAAGGTGAATTAGAAACATAGCTCCAAGGGAAACATCTGACATAGGAGAAAATACTTTTGTTAATCTTTACTTCTAAACAAGTTCAATTCCTTGTTTTATATATATCTATCTATATACACTCATACATGCACACATATATACATGTACACTTCTGTGTGTATATATACACACACACACACGGGTTAAATGTGGTTAAATGTGTTTGGCAGGCATTCAGCAAGCTAAATGTAATTTTCAAGAAAAACCTACGCTTATGCCTGAAGAGCAGTAGCTTATTCTCAGTAGCTTATTGATTATTCATTTCTCTGAATTTCAAATTCATTCAGGGCAAAACTGAAGAAGGAATGGCATTTGGTGTCATTTTCTCCAATTCCTGCATATTCTGAGTACCAGTTCTTAAATCGAGGACTGAATCCAGACTAATATTGGTGTGGCTGAAGTGTTCTGGCAACCTTGTATTTAACTACACCCATATAATCTGATCACACAGGATGTCCAGTTTTATCACGAAATTAAAAATCTAACTCAATATCTGCCTCTCCGTTCCTTGACAGTTTTCTTCCTAAATGGAAGAGGCCTAGTTTTGTATCTTATGCTCACATGACCTTGTTTTGGTCATGTTTTTGAGCTTATATTGTTCTTTTATGTAGCAATGTGTTGGGTTTTTTGGTTTGGTTTGGTTTTATTTTTATTTTATTATTTTTTTTGTTTGGTTTGGTTTTGTTCACTCAGAATCTTCCCTGTGGTCTACCCTTCATAACCTGGAAAAAGATTTAACAAGCAAAATTCTTTCTGAGGTTTTTCCCTCAAGATTTTCTCTGGAAAATTTTGAGATAAGGCTGGTTGGAATCCTCTTTTTTATTATTTACTGTGGTCCATCTGTACTGGCAAGAAGGTCCAGAAGGTCCAGAGAGAAGATCCAGAGAGTACAAATGTTTAAAAATCAAAAAGACTACAAAAATGTATTAATGTGAGACATTGTTAAAAGGAAGAGGGCTGAGGAGAGGAAATATAGATTATGGAAGAAAAAGCAACATAGTCCTGATAAAGGTAGGGTTTGTTTTTGTTTTTATTTTTTGTCAAAAAGACAAAACTGCCTTCTCTGTCTCACTAAATGGCTGCTTGGGAATTTACTCTTACAGTTTCCAAGGTAATGTTTTTATCCCTGATTAGCACTCAAGCATCCTTTCTGAAAGCCATGTAAGTTCCACTTTGGTTGACAATGTAGTTCATGTAGTACTTGAAAACCCAGGTAACTGCATGCTGTATTATTATTATTATTATTATTATTATTATTATTATTATTATTATTATTATTATGTCCTCATGCCAGAGGAAAGAAGAGGAAAGGAAAGTATGGAAAGTAGGATGAAGAAGAAATCCTAAAATTGAGTCTTCCACTAGCCAAACCTAGAGAGGAAGAAATGAGAAGCCTTTCACTGTTTCCGCTACTAAAGCTGCTGGTGATCCATAGAGTCAAAGGGACAAGGATTAATGCTTGGGATGCCACAACTCCAACAGTTTAACAGTACTATGAGAAGTCTGAAGACTTCTGCAGACTTAAACCATACAATGAAAGACAGGAATCTGCAGTACGCTTTGACTATCTAAGTAAGTGCAACTATTACCATATTTTTCAGAGTATAAAATGCACTCCTGCCCCCCTAAAAGAGGCTGAAAATTTGGGTGCATCTTATACTCCGAATGTAGTTTTTTCAAAGCTTTTTTTCAGCCCTAATAAGGTGCTAGTGATCTTCCAGGATTTGCCTGCTCCCTCAGACTCTCAGCTGTGCTTTAGAAGCTTTTTTTCAGGCCTAATGAGGCGCTAGCCAGTGAAGCGATCTCTGTGCTTTGCCTGCTTTTCTCATTGCTTCTCTCTCCAAAGATCGTGTGCTTTAGAAGCTGTTTTTTATCCCCAAGTAGGGAATAAAAAGTGCACCTGCGCGCTCAAAACCAGCAAACTAATGTGCTAAAGCTGACCAGACTAAGGACGCTAGCCAGATGAATACCTGGTAGGCAGATTTTCCTCCCCAAAAACTAAGCTGTGTCTTATACTCAGGTGCATCTTATACTCCGAAATATATGGCATTTATTCAAATGTATTTATGTATTTGAATTTATTAGGTGCCCAATTCCAGTGGATTCTGAATGGTGTAGAACACTGGAAAATCAATTTTAAAAAAAACATATAACACATCAAACCAAATAGACAGCCAAGGAGTGGTTAAGCTGCTGATACAGAAACCTGAAGATTGTGAGTTTAGTCCTGCCTTTTAGTCATGAAAGCCAGCTGGTGACTTTGGGCTAGTCATTCTCTTTCAGCCCAATCCACCTCACAAAGTCATTTCTTTGGCCAAAATAGGAGAAAGAATGAGTATTATGTATGTTTGCTGTTTTGCTTTACTTATAAAGTAATAAAGGCAGGTGTCAGCATTCCAGAAAACCCCAACTCCAATTAAAAACTCCGAAGCAAGCATTTCCTCAAAGTTCCATTTATTAGAGTAGGTATACTGGCACATCTGGAAAAACCCGAATCTGAGAGTTCCGGGTTTTTCCTCAGTAAATCAAAAAACCCCAAACCATCCCCTCACTCATCAATTGATCACATGCTCCAATCAACATCCATCCCATCTCGAGACATCATTCCAACCACTCCTTCTCCAGATACAGTATTGTCCTGACCTTGACCGAAAGGAAGAATGCTATTTTGTCTAAATACATTCCCTCTACTAAATCCCCCCTCCTACTTTCCCACATATGAGAAGTTGGCAGCGTGGAAGCTTCTGTTTCTAATATGGCTTCCAAAGCTGACAGCAGGATAAAAACCTAATAAAGAAATAAAACCATATTATAACCAATACAACACAAGGGCCTCAAAAATACAATGATACATTACTATGGTAACACTCGGCCTAGGACCAAAGCCAGATTTTAAGAGCTTTCCAGAATCCTGGAAGAGACAGCACCATCCCTACAGTATATGTAGATGGATACTATTCTAGATTCATGAGTGGGAGCCATGACAAAGAAGGTAACCATCTTTGTTCTCACAATGGCGGTTTTTAATATGGGGTAGACAGAAACAATTGGATACAAGCAGTCTCTCAAAGTATACAAAATTTTACTTCCCTGAAATTTTCTTTTCCCATAAAAGAAATTTTGAAACCTGCAGATTGGAAATGGAACACAGTAGAAACCAGAGAAATAAATACAGTTTTATGTTAGAGATAGGACAAAATCCTGCATCTATAGGCAGTGTAACCAGGTTCTTATTTCCCAGATTAGCGTGTAATTCAAGTTGTAATTATTTTCATATTACACATTATTACAAAGGTATAAATTGCACTTAGGTTCAGAAACAGCATATAAAATGTATTTATTAGAGAATTATAAAAAAAATGTTACTTAATAGGAAAAGCTGACTTTAAAAAATCAGTGTGAAGTTTTTATATATTCAGTGCAGATTGATGTGAAAATTGGATGATATTGAGCTCTGATAAAATATGTGTAAAGCTAACATATAGGCTAAAATACTTAAAATTAGTTTAATCCCGAGGATAAATGTGGTTATGGTTAAGTGCATATTTGACATTTCTAAGCCACTACAATTGTATTAACTCTTCATGGGCTTTACAAATATTTTAATATCTTTTTCCTGACGAGTGCCAAGAGATATATGCTAATGCAGACTTTCAGATGAAATGCCGATTTAGCAATAACAATACTTAAAGTGTTAATAGTATACACAATTTCTAGAAGACTCCCATTGAGCAAAGGTAGCGGCCAGAGCAACTCTGGAACTGGAAAAAAAAGATTGGTTCCTCAACATTTTCCACAGAGATTTCCCATATGAACTATACCACAGGGTGGTTTTAGCTGCTGAAATGTTCTTCATTTGATACCAAGAGTATCCCAAAAACTTAATATTATTCAATTTTGTCTAACTATTAATTAATACATGTTATAGAGAATAGAATAGAATAGAATAGAATAGAATAGAATAGAATAGAATGGAATGGAATGGAATGGAATGGAATGGAATGGAATGGAATGGAATGGAATAGAATAGAATAGAATAGAATAGAATAGAATAGAATAGAATAGAATAGAATAGAATAGAATAGAAGTTGGAAGCGACCTTGGAGGTCTTCTAGTCCAACCCCCTGCTTAGGCAGGAAACCCTACACCACTTCAGACAAATGGTTATCCAACATCTTCTTAAAAACTTCCAGTATTGGAGCATTCACAATTTCTAGAGGTAAGTTGTTCCACTGATTAATTGTTCTGTCAGGAAATTTCTTCTTAGTTCTAGGTTGCTTCTCTCCTTGATTAGTTTCTACCCATTGCTTCTTGTCCTGCCCTCAGGTGCTTTGGAGAATAGTTTGACTCCCTCTTCTTTGTGGCAGCCCCTGAGATATTGGAACACTGCTATCATGTCTCCCCTAGTCTTTCTTTTCATTAAACTAGACATACCCAGTTCCAGTATGTTTAAGCCTCCAGTCCCCTAATTATTTTTGTTGCTCTTCTCTGCACTCTTTCTAGAGTCTCCACATCTTTTTTACATCATGGCAACCAAAACTGGTTGCAGTATTCCAAGCGTGGCCTTACCAAGACAATATAAAGTGGTATTAACACTTCCCATGATCTTGATTCTATCCCTCTGTTTATGCAGCCTAGAACTGTGTTGGCTTTTTTGGCAGCTGCTGCACACTGCCAAAAGCCATATATCACTTTAATGTAGAAAAGTTTGGGGCTTTATCGCTCAGAGAACCATCATTTCCTTTTATTTATCCATATACGTGAGAGAACTGTGATAGGATGGAAGGTGGTTCAGCCAGTCTATTTGGCCACAAATGAAATCATGGTGACTTGTGGGGAGTGGAGGGGGTGGGGTTAACAACTTTAAAAATAATAATGCATTCAACAAAATATACAATACATTTATATTCGAATGACCCCAAAATAACATGTTAGTGTTTCAAAAAGTTGTTGATCTTAAGTAACCTCTTAAAATTCATTACTAGATATAGCGGCTGAATTTTCTAGCTTCCTTTTTTTTAAAAAAATGCTAGTTTTGAGGATATTTTCCACTCAGATTGTGGTTCACAGAATATTTAAATCAAGCTATATCATTTTTCAGATACTTTGGATACCTTGCACACAAGAACAACTAGACACAAGGACAGTTTTTTCAAGAATGCAATCACTCTGCTAAACAAATAATTCCCTCAACACCGTTAAACTATTTACTAAGTCTGCACTACTATTAATCTTCTCATTGTTCCTATCACCCACCTCCTCCCACTTATGACTGTATGATTGTAATCTTATTACTTGTATCCTTATGATTTATATTGATATTGTTCCTGATTGCTTATTTGTACCCTATGACTATCATTAAATGTTGTACCTTATGATTCTTGATGAACGTATCTTTTCTTTTATGTACACTGAGAGAGTATGCACCAAGAAAATTCCTTGTGTGTCCAATCACATTTGGCCAATAAAAAATTCTATTCTATTCTATTCTATTCTATTCTATTCTATTCTATTCTATTCTATTCTATTCTATTCTATTCTATTCTATTCTATTCTATTCTATTCTATTCTATTCTATTCTAAAGTGTGTTAACATGTGAAATACTAAAGTATACTAAAATATTAAAGCTGTGAAGGTCCTATCAAACCATACCTAATGTGGTTTCAGTTGTATTAGAATGTAGTCAGCTTCTGTACATTTGAGGGAGGTCGGAACTGCAATCTTGTCTATAAAGATTTGAGTGTCATCTTTAACATTGAAAAACATGACAGTTAAGTCCTGGAGCTCACAAATATTCCATCCATTTTATGAGCTGATATCCTTGAATTAATTGTGGGTCCAGAATCAGAAATCATTTTGTCTTCCTCACTATTATTAGGTAAGCATTTGCCTAAATTCATGGAGAGTGCAATCTGAGTATAGAGCAAACTCATAAACACATTTTTCCACAGCCAGGAAATTTCGAGGGTATCTTTGACTCTGAGAAAGATTCATACATGATCCAGACCTAAATAATACAGAGTTCTTCTGCCACTTTATTTATGATCATGTGAGCAGAACTTTCAATTTATTTTCAAACTTTCATACTTCTCATCTGAATATGCATACAACATCACCCTAATTACAATCCTGGGTATTTGTTTGTATTTGTTTGTATTTATTTATTTATTTTGTCAAGCATATATAAGATAACAGGTAAATGTATAAACATAATTTGAATACATGAAAAGAGTAAGTAAAAAAGGAATATTAGGACAGGGATGGTAGGCACGCTGTGCACTTACAGACCTCTTAGGAATGGGGTGAGGTCAACAGTAGACAGTTTATGGTTAAAGTTTTGGGGGTTTGGGGAAGAAACTACACAGTCAGGTAGTGTTCTGTCCCAATCCCACACACGCACTCCCACAGATGGCCCGGAGTTAATAAGCCACACGACAAAGTCTTTGAAGATAAAGCTGGCAGCAACCCAGTGGCTAGCTGCCAATTCAGACTTTACTCACACAAAACAAAGATTAGACTGCAAGCATTCCGATAAAGCAGGCAAAGTTTCAACAATACAAGGATTAGTCCAAATGCAGTCCGACAAGGCAGGCAGAAGTCCAGTAACGCAGAGATCATGGATTATTTCTAGTTTTTGCTCGTCACAAACTGAACCGGCCACCACACCCACATTTATACCCTGTGGGGTGTGGTCCAGTGACTCAGCTAATCTCTGGCATGCCTTCCCTTCTGCTGCGCACGCTTCTCCCTGCACCGCTGTCGAGGATCCAGCCAGCACTTATCTCCTTCGTCGCTGTCCACTTGTGGCTGCGGGGACGTGCTTGGCTCGGGGCCTATCTCTTGGCCTTCGGTGTCCTCCAGAGGCATTGCCAGAGAGGAGGGTCCTGGAGAGGGAGGCCTTGCCAACTCCTCTCCCTCAGTCTCAGAGTCTGCATCTGTCAATAGCCCAGGCTCAGGCAATGGAGCCACAACAGGTAGTATATTCCAGGTATTGACCACTCTGTTGCTGAAGTCATATTTTCTGCAATCGAGTTTGGAACAGTTTACCTTGAGTTTGTATCTATTATTTGCTTGTATATTGTTGTGGTTGAAGCTGAAGTAGTCATTGGCAGGTAGGACATTTTGGCAGATCATTTTATGTACTACGCTTAGGTCAGACTGAAGTCGGCGTAGTTCTAAGTTGTTTAAGCCCAAAATTTGGAGTCTGGTGGCATAAGGTATTTTACTGCAGATAGAGGAATGGAGGACTCTTCTCATAAAATATCTCTGGATTCTCTCAATTGTATTTATGTCCGATATGCTTCATTTACTAGATAAATAACAATAACAACCATATAATGTAATATGTGCATCACAGTTCATGCACATGGACATGAAAGCCCATGGCAACTGTGATTTATTTCTTTGTCACCCAAGTGTACAAAATATCCTATGAATATATCCAAAAGGAGGTTTTGGCATTTGCTGGTACATCTTAATGCTCAGAAACCTTTGCACTGAGTTCCCAGTGTGTTCCTTAATGGAAGCTCGTAATCTTTTCATCAATACAAATAAAGTATTTGCTTTATAGGATGCACCTTAATTTCAGAGCATAATTGAGGAAACACAATCAATGAAAAACTGAGTAGATAAGTGACCTTAATTAATGCTTTGCAGTGATCACAATTTGAATGCTGCTGCTAGACCAAGGAATGTCTAACATATTGACTAGCTAGCATTTCTCTATTCTTCTATCCAAGGAACAATGATTCCACACTCAAGCAATTCACCTAGCTGGCTTTTCTGTATTTCCCTGGTTGTGAGTTATTTATACTTAAGGTAAATCGTGTGTTGAATTGCGTATATTTTTGGTACTTATCTCCATCAATTTTACCATACTGCCAAGATGTGTGATTTATTTATTTTTTTTTGAAACTCAGAAGTCTAAGAATCTCATGACTGTGGGAGACAATCTTCCCCTTGTTTTCCACAAAAAGTGTCCAAAGCCACCACAATGATTTGCTACACTGTTAGTATTGCTCCTTCCACATTTGTTCCTCTGCAAATCAAGTTCCAGAACAATGAATATGTTGGAAATCAATAGTTCCTTCACCCTACTGAAGCAATGAAGTGATAATTAACCTTCATGCAGGTGGGATGCATGTTGCCCTGGAACTAAAGAGAAGTTTCCAAACAGTGAGAACAATTAACCAGTGGAATGACTTGCCTTCAGAAGTTGTGGGGGCTCCATCACTGGAGGCTTTTAAGAAGAGACTGGACAGCCAAATTGTATACGATGTCCTGTTTGAGCAGGGGGTTGGACTAGAAGACCTGCAGGTCTCTTCCAACTCTATCATTCTGTCCTTGGCTACATTATATGTGGACCTAGACACAATATAAAATCTCTTTATCAAAAGTCAATTCAGACCTTTCATGGAAGTTGCTTGTATGTTATTCACAGTCTCCTGTGCCAGAGATGAAAGGTCAAGGTAAGAATATAGAACATAGAATAACAGTGTTGGAAGGGATCTTGGAGGTCATCTAATCCAGCTCCCTGCACAAGCAGGAGAGTCTACACCCAGTGATGGTGAACCTATGCATGCCAGAGGTGGCACACAGCGCCCTTTCTGTGGGCACATGAGCAGTCGCCCTAGCTCAGCTCCGGTGCACATGCACGCACACCTGCCACCAACCAGCTGGTCTTCGGGTCTCTGCCATGCATGCACATGGGGTGGGGTGCATGGGGAGGGCAGGCATGTGCATGCACGAAGCGGGGCATATGCAGGGGGGCCACACACGCATTGCATTTTGGGGGTTTGGGCATGCACGCTTTGGGCACTCGGTCCAAAAAATGTTAGCCATCACTGGTCTATACAATTTTAGACAAGTGGCTGTCCAGTCTCTTCCTCAAAATCTCCAGTGATGGGGTACTCACAACTTCTGAAAGCAAGGCTTTCCACTGATTAATTGTTCTCACTGAATGATTGGGTTATCAGAAAAATGAAGGAAGAAAGGAGGGAGGAAGAGAAGATTGCAGAGGAAGAATGAGTGCCCCCCCCATTCCTCCTGTCTCTGCCCCCACACAATCCTTCCACATCTCTTTCGCAAACTCACTTCCATAGATATTTGTTTAAAGTCCCATTATTTGCTCGTCAGTATGAACATTTCAATAAGCTTCCTTACTCTGATTAGTCCAAAATTTGGGGATATTAATTGAAAATCAAATGCCTTGTGTCTTGAGCACCACTAGATTAAAGAAAACAATAGAAAGAAACACTGTTGGTGGATGAGGATGCAGTTCAGTTTCCCTGATGGTGACTTACATCCATTTCATGAAATAACTGGTTGCTATCCTGCTAGATCTTGGCAATAACTTCCCAATAACTTTTATAGACTAGGAAAGAACATTCCAGTTTAGATATGGAGATTCATTTTCCTCCTTTTTATTCTTTCAAATTAACAAAATAAAGCTTAATGTGTGTACCAATATATCTCCGTTTAACTGTACTGTGTAATTCCTCCTGCCAACTTCAGGTGTCACAGACAGAACGCTACTGCCATCTTAAGGGGAAGAAGCAAAAATAGTTATCTATTCCAAGTTGATTCGAAAAGTGGATATATCGTAAAATGGACCAATTCACCTTCCATCCACCTCACCCACCAAATACCACTTCACTCCTTATGTCACCAAGGGATCTGTGCTGAAATTGCTACGTCGAGGAAAACATTTAGTGCATTTGGTGTTCCTGGACTGCCTGGATAATCCTCAAAATGACAAATCGCTATCTCCGTGATTAATTTTCTCTCTTGTCAAGGCTGGGAAGATGAGAGATTTGGGGGACATCGTGCAAGATGTCAAGGAAATGCCAGCTGTCTCTATTACATCTCTGCGTTAACAACAGTGCAAGATTAATGATTCGTGTGCAGCGCTTGTTTTTGTAACTTTCACAAATCTGAATTCCTCGGCAGATAAAGTAATAGGATCTGTCAGTCAGCGGAAGAATCCTTGGAAGAGAGGGGCGACGGGTATTTTAAATAATCAATAATGTAACACTTGAAGCTGCTTGCTATAAACATAAGCAGACTTAACGTTTCAGAAATAAGACAGATATTACTTTGTTTGGCATATACCACTCTCAGAGAGACTTAATCATAGCAAATGATGTAAAGGTAGGGCCCTAGCTCAAATATGGTTCTGTAAGAACTTACTATCAGATATGGAGTCTTGGGTCACAAATTTAGTAAAGAATTGGAAACTGGCTTGGAACTTAATTTATAGTCACATAAGCCACATGAACCATAACAGTGGTGAAATCCAATTTTTTTCACTACCGGTTTTGTGGGCATGGCTTGGTAGGCATGGCAGGGGAAAGATACTGCAAAATCTCCATTCCCACCCCACTCCAGGGGAAGGATACTGCAAAATCTCCATTCCCACCCCACTCCAGGGGAAGGATATTGCAACCATTCCCACCCCACTCCAGGGGAAGGATACTACAAAATTACCATTCCCTCCCCACTCCTGGGGGAAGGATATTGAAAATCTCCATTCCCACCCCGCTCTGGGGCCAGCCAGAGGTGGTATTTGCTGGTTCTCCGAACTACTCAAAATTTCCGCTACTGGTTCTCCAAACTGTTCAAAATTTCCGCTACCAGTTCTCCAGAACCTGTCAGAACCTGCTGGATTTCACCCCTGAATCATAGGCATTGTGAACTTGACAGTATCAGGACAGAAGATCTGCCCTTAAAGATGCTATTTCCTCATGCAAAACATATTGCAGATTAATATTACGTTCAAGCCAGAATTATTCCTATAGGGTCTTATGGATAAAAAGGAATTAAAAAAAAAGGAATATGACAAATTAATTTTGCATCTGTGGTAACTGTAGAGTGATTATTGCATGCAAAAAAAAAAAAAGGAAAATTAATGATTGGATTCTAAGATTAATTGAATAGGCAGAAAAGATGAAGCTGACCAGTTTGTTCAGGGTAAAAAAATTAGAAGGTTCTTGTTGAAAGACTTTTTCCTGAATGAAGCAAAGATTAAATTATGATTTCAGGATTTGGGGACTAAAAAGGTACGAAGAGGATGGGGAGAATGTTAAGATAATAATTGTTCAATAGAGAGAAAGCAAAAGGCATAATTCTTTTTTTCCCTCCCTTTTTCTTTCTGAATTCTTTTTCTCTTATGTTCTTTTTGTTTCTTCATTTTTTACTGTATTAAAAAAAAATCTAAGAAAAATATATTAGTACCATAGAGAAAAAGGGTGCTACTTCTATCAAGAACTGTCTGGTCTATGCCAGCCTGTTGTGAATAGGTAGATTAGCTCTTCTTAAGTAGAAGCTTTCCCCGAATCGTATTTCAGTTTGTTGTTTTCCTTCCAAAATAATACTATGCCACAGAGCAGGGACACAGCATGTCTCAACAATTTTCATTTCCCTGGAAGATGACTTGTCTGGTGAACAAACAGAGGTGCTATTAAAGCAAATCATCCACAGGCCATTGAACTGGCAATGTTTATTATACTTTTCATAATTACAACATGCCACAACCCCAAATTTTACAGGAAATTTGATTATATGATTTAACCATATATGATCCTAGATTGCCAAATTCTCTATCAATCCACATAAAGCTATTTTACAAGGAAAAACACAGAGCAATTTAATGCTTGTTACTAACTCCCAGTAAAATTGAAACACTCAGAACTTGTTCATCATTACATCATCAGGCCCCTCATCTTATCACAGGAGCATCAAATTCGCGTCCTCGTGGCAGCATCACGTGATGTATCATGACTTATTCCCCCTTCGCTAAACCGGGCATGGGCGTGGCCAGCGCGTGACACATCCGGGCCGCGGACCACGAGTTTGACAGCCCTGTCTTATCACAATTTATTTTTTAATCTTAATGAAGTAGTTATGGGGAAAAAAAACCACTTTGTGATAAAATTGTGTAATGAAAATGGTTAAACTACCCAAAGGTAAGAGAGAGAGAGAGAGACCAAATGAAACAGGAAGACATTGGATAAGCGCTAACAGTTACAACGCATAGCAGGGTGAGATTACACACAGTGTAATTAAATTTAGCAACATTTAGGGCAAAGATTTCTCTTTGTTGTCTAATTGATAATTTAGGTAAAATAAATCAGAATGCTGTGGGAAATTAGAGAAAAAGTGGGAAGAATTTAAAGAGTCACTTGATGAGAGAGCTTGTCGATCTTCAAATATGATACATAAATAAATTAAAGGAAGATCAATTGCAAACAAGAAAATGTCTGTACACTCACAATAAAACAACAACAGTGAGGTTACTACAGGTAGTCCTCGGCTTACGGAGCCCAAAATTTCTGTTAAGTGAGACATTTGTTAAGTAATTTTGCCCCATTTTACAAACTTTCTTGCCTCAGTTGTTAAGTGAATCATTGCAGTTGATAAGTTAGTAACACGGTTGTTAAATGAGTCTGGCTTCTCCATTGACCTTGCTTGTCAGAAGGTCGCAAAAGGTGATCACATGCAGTAAAACAACAACAGTGTGGTTACTACAGGTAATCCTCGACCTACGACTACAATGGAGCCCAAAATTTCTGTTAAGTGATACATTTGTTAAGTGAATTTTGCCCCATTTTACAAACTTTCTTGCCTCATTTGTTAAGTGAATCATTGAAGTTGATAAGTTAGTAACACGGTTGTTAAATGAATCTGGCTTCTCCATTGACTTTGCTTGTCAGAAGGTTGCAAAAAGTGATCACATGACCTTGGGACACAGCAACGGTCATAAATATGAACCAACTGCCAAGCATCTGAATTTTGATCACATGATTATGGGAATGTTGCAAAGGTCATAACTGTGAAAAACGGTCATAAGTCACTTTTTTCAATGCCATTGTAACTTTGAAGGGTCAGTAAATGAGCTATTGTAAATCAAGGACTTACATCACTGGGGCAAAGAGGATTTTCATGCTTCTCACTTCTAGAGAACTAAACTGTTCCAAATTCAAACCACTTCTGATATTGTTGCAGTTCTTCTTATTAGTTGGAACGTATTGCTTAAAGTTCAATCCACTGACTGGCATTTTTGACAGCACATTATTTAGAACTTCTAGAAATGCAGTGCCACCTGCCTTATTCAGAGGATAAAGTTTCAGGTACCTAGAATAGTAAAGTTGAGTATTTAAGTGCCATCCTGCAAATATCCCAGCCAAATAGTTGCTATTAATACAAGGAAGAAATAACAGTAACCTGCACTAGGCTTATGAGACTATCCTAATAGCCCAAAATATGAATGATCCGAAAGGTCTATTAATAAGTCAAGGAGCACAGCAAAAAAATGGGACTAAAATTAAATATAAAGAAGACCAAAATAAATGCAACAGGTCGAATAAATAGGCAATAAAAATATCAAAAGGCAGAAGCTATCCACCAAAACATTGCTGGCTAGCTTCTGCCTTTTGGCATCAACCATCAACAGTAAAAGAACAAGCAGTCAAGAAATATGCTTCAGATTAACACTCAATAAAGCAGTCATGAAGGTTTTGGAAAAAAATATTCAAATGCTGTGATACATCTATACTTACAAAAATCAGAACAGTCAAGCAAAGTAGATGTATTTAGTTAAAGTGATGATGACTGCATATTGAAATATTGAAAGATCAGGGGCACATGGAAAATCAATCTATTGACTTGATCACTAAGAATCAATGCCAATTTGATGTCACATAATCAAATGTGTGAATGAATGCCCCATTGTGCAATCAATTTTCCTGCAGTCACCATCCTTCTTAATGTGCCATGTTTTAATTAAAAGCTAAGATAGGATAGGGAAACTTCTTCCCAAAGGGCTTTTTGGTCTAACAGTTAAGACAACTGAATTCACCAGCTTAACTCTGATGAATTTCTGGACCATCTATGCAATTTTCCTTGGCAACCATTTGGAAGTGGTTTGTCATTATCGTATTCTGGGATATTTTTCCCCCCTTGACTTCTCAGTCTCAGGAACATTTTTGTTGTTTTCAAATATTCTACCATCCAAATGCTAATTAGTCCAATCTTATTTAATTTTTCTGAGAGGTCAACTAGCAGGTTTCAGAATGATGAATCACTGTTAATTTTTAAGAAAGAAAGTTACATATCATTTGTTGCTAATCACAGCAATAAAATCAATTCAACCTCCCCATTGCCAAAAAAACATGCTAATGGCCCAAGAATAAAATGCAAAAGTGAAAGTTTTTCATAGGAAGAGTTTGAAGAAAAAAAAAAGAATCAGGAAACTGGCAGGCAAATTTAAGTAAGTTGTCCCTCGTCAATTATCATCTATTCTTCTGAGCTAATTCTTTTAAGCTTGAAATAACTGCATTATGTATGAAGAGGTCAGAAATGGAAAGTCTGTTTCATAATTTTTATGAAATCATACTGGGAAAAAAAGAAAAGAATTAGTAAATGGTTAGTGGTATTTTAAGGCTAGTAAGATCACAAATACAAATTCATGTATCAATATATACACATGCATCTGTTTTTCCCAGCATCTCAAAAATGCCAAATGACCATAGCCTCCTTCCTTCCTTCCTTCCTTCCTTCCTTCCTTCCTTCCTTCCTTCCTGCCTGCCTGCCTGCCTGCCTGCCTTCCTGCCTTCCTGCCTTCCTCCCTCCCTCCCTCCCTCCCTCATCATAAATTTTCATAAATTATTGACCTGGATAAACCATCTCTATTTATAAATTATGATTAAAACCCTGGATGAATTATCATAAATCATCCTACATTGTAACAAATTATGATTACCATCCTGAATAAGATATAACAAATTATCAAACAGTATGATTATTACCCTGGATAAATTGAATTGTCCTAAATTATGATTTCTAGGTAGCTTTATCCTGGAGAACTACAGAGAGCAGAAATAGTTAAGTACTAACTATGCTATTGATTGTCCATTATTACTATCTCTGTCCTCACTTTTGCTTTACAATTATACAATATTTAAATGTGTTGCG